ATGAGGAGAGGTTAGAGAAGCGAGGATTATTCTCCTTGGAGCAGAGAAGGTTAAGAGGAGACTTAATAGTAAGTTTTAAAAATTATGAGGGGATTCGACAGGGTGAATGAGTAGAAACAATTTCCACTGGTGGGCGGGTCGGTAACCCGAGTACACAGATTTAAAATAGTTGTTAAAAGAAACGGGAGGTGAGGAGAAATCTTTTCACATAGTGAGTTGTTCGTATCTGGAATACATTGCCTGAAAGGGTGGTGGAAGCTGATTTGATAATAACTTTTAATAGGGAAGTAGATAATTTTTTGGGGAAGCAAATTTCCAGGGCTATGGGGAGAGAGCAGGGGAGTGGGATTGAATTGGATAGCTCTTTTGAAAGAGCCGGCACAGACATGATGGACCGAATGGCCTCCTTCTGTACTGTATGATTCTATGAATTCTGCCATGGCTTATCTTCTACTACTGCAACACCTGTATCAGTTAGCAATTGACCTCTTTCACTTGGTGTACAGATAAAATACTTTGCTGTTACTAAATATTCTTCTCAATCTCCAGTCTTGCAACTGTTTTTCCAAGTCCCCAGTCCCTTTCCATTTCAATAGCCTTTTTCTTTTGTTTAATACTACCTTATATCTTAAGTACAACCTTTCCCTTTCAGAGAAATGTACACTTTTTGATATGTACAGTATTTATCTGAATGGATTACACCTTGTTTGTCAATTTATTTAACAATTCCTGCCACCTTTATTTTCCTCATTCCATCAAAGTTGGCCTTGTTTAAGTCCAAAACGTTGGTGTGTGATTGTCTTTTCTTTCTTTCAAACCTTGTGTTGAATTTTGTTGTATTAAGGTCACTATTCCCAAGATTCTCTCCTACCATCAGATTTCTAACTGCTGCAATTCTGTCTCATTGCTCATAACAAAGATGAGTCTGGCCCAAACCCTTAATGGTACAAAGCCATACTCTTTTACAAAACTGTCCTGCACACATTCAAAAACGTCTACCATTCTATTTGTATTGCTATTCCTTTTCCAATCTAGATGCAAGTTGAAATATCCCATTTTAACCACATTTTTCTTCTTGCGAGCTTCCCTGATCTGCTGTACATATATTCCTTGTATTATATCATTAAAGTCAGGAGGTCTATATTAAAAAAAACTACCTGTGCTTTACATCCCTTACTATTCTGCATTTCTACCCACAGTAATTATACCTGTGGATTACATTCAAATACAGTATATCCATCCTTTCAATTGCCAAGATTGTATCATTAATAATTATGCTACATTTCCCCTTTTTCTCTATCCTTCTAAAGTTCCAATATTCTGGTATATTAAGGTCCCAATTTTGACCAGGTTTTAACCACGTTTCTGGAATCCCTTTCACATCCTGCTCCCAAGTGTATTTGAGCTTCCCACTTTATTTTGTAATCCTCCTACAATTAGTTTCAAGGCACTTAGGTTATCTACTTTATTTCACTCATTTCCCTCAGGTCTCTTTAGTTCCCTGTTCTCTTTTCTTTGCTAAATCTTATCCTATATTGATTTCTCTCTGCTGTTCCTCATTTCTTACCCCATCTCCCCTCACCCCCCTCTATGACTTCCAACCTTCCCCACTCATTTCTCTCCCAGTAAAGATATTGGAGTTCTGTAGCTCAGTGGTTAGAGACTTAGGTTAGAATCGTGGCAGGGCGAAAGGTTGTGTGACTTTCCTTATTTCACAAGCCTCTGTTTACCTAGTAGTAAGTAGGAACTTGTTTGTTAGTCAAATGGCGGATTGCTTTTCCAGGGATAATAATCCTTCCAAAAAAAAGTAATAATTTGGTTACTCAATCCACAACTGTTTGTGGGACGCTGCTGTGCACAATTGGCTGCCGCGTTTCTCCCACAAATATACAGTTAATTCACTTTACAGTATATTCTGTGAAGCGCTTTGAGACGTCGAAGATGTGAACAGCGCTATACCAAATGCAAGAATTATTATATTGGAACAGCCCCGTTCAGGTGAAGCCCTTCCAATCTTTACAAGTAATTCCTGTTTAAGAACTGGTACCAATGTCCCAGGAATCTGAACTCTTCTCCTATACTATCCCTCCAGCCACACATTTACCTAACGCATCTTGAGGCATGATGCAGGTCAGTTAAAAAGAATGGAGGGATACAAGAACAACATTTATATAGCCATCATCATGTATGGTGTAATGTGTGCTTTGGAAAGACAGTTGGATGTTCAGCCAGGTGGAGGGGTGAATGTGACTGCAAGTGTGGTCAAAGAGGTAGGCTTTTAGCCAGTATTTAAAGGCACAGAAGGGCTGGGGTAGTGGGTTGGGTGGTGGGTGAGAGTTCCAGGGATTCGGACACTGTTGCTGAAGGCTCGGCCACCAATGGTGCCTTCCAATGGCGAGATGCATTCCGAGACATTATATCCTACATGATGGGAGGGCTATATAAATGTTGTATATCCCCATTCTTTTTAAAAATAACCGCATCATAACTTGTCACTCCCAGACCCTACCAGGCATGAAGGGTGCTATATAAATGCAAGTTTTTGTTTTTTGGGAGTGTCGTGCAGGAGGAGGAGGTTTTTCAAATGGAGGGGATGAGCAGGAAAGGGATAGGAGAAGAACACAGAGATGGGGAGGTCCTAGAGCTTAAAAGGATTTATAGGGGATATGAGGACCTTAAAGATGTTCCGTTGGAAGCCTAGTGAGAAATGTGGAGTTTGGCACGGGTGAGGATTTGGGCAGCTGAGTTTTGTATGAGGACAGTATCGATATTGATCCTCTAAATCTTTCACAATCTCCAGCTCAGATCACTTGTCTGCTCAGCCTTAGGGCTAGGTCGTTGCTTCAGTAACACTTGAACAAATGCCATTTAGTTGATTATACCAACGTAATCTATTGTCCTGGAAACATTGGTAGTTGAAACAGAATTCAATTCCAATTATTGCACCAGAAAAGTGTGTCGTATGGATTGTAGTTTCAATCTCTGCTCTGTGTCTTGCCTGGTAGCAGGCTCACAAGATGGAATGCCAATCTACAGGGAGTACACTGACAACTTGTGCAACAGACACTATCCGAGCGGTGAGGTATTGAACAAACCCATTTTCTGTGTCTCAGCAAATTTCATATACTGGGGTCAGCAGAACCACAACAACACACATTTACATTTATACAGGGTGAATCAACAATCCTTACTCAGGTCGATATGTGACATTGAAACTTCATGCCATGTACACATAAACATATCAACTCAGTGACAAAACTTTTACAAACGTGATGAAAGCCATCTCCTGTAATAGCTGCACACTCGTCAGAAATAAAAAAAAACAAGAACATAATTAATATTAAAAACTCTTTTGAGTAATGATTTCTGAGTCGCCCTGTGTAGTGCATCCCACATCGGGAAGATGTCACTAGACTATGGACAGTCGAAGGTTTCCACCCGAGCTGGAGGTGGGATCCGAGCTATGTGTGTTTGGGGGTGGGGGGATATGACCGAAGGTGTGATTAAAAAGCAAGGTCTTGAAGAAGCCAAAGAAAGTGTTGAGACTTAGGGACTCCTGGATGGAGTTCTACAGAGTGGGGCAGATGGCTGAAACCAGATCATTCTTCTCAGGGATGCAGAATGTCAGAGTGAATGGTTTGAGCCGGAAAGGATTCAAATGCACAAGTGGCTCTTCGAGCTAGTGACTGGTAATCAGATGGTCGATATGCAGTTATTCACAGAGGGATATCCTGACAACTTTCCAACAAGGGTAGATTGGAGATGGGGCGGCAGTGTGAGAGATTAGATCTCTCTAATCTCTCACGCTACCGTCCCATCTTCGACCTACTCTGCCTTGCCAAAGCCCTGGGACGCATGTCAACTTCGGTCACATCTCTCCCTCCTCGAGCTCCTAAAGTATCATTTTCGCTCTGCTCCAACACACTCCGCGCCGATCTCTCCAGCTCCACCATTCACAAGATCCAGCTCATTCAAAACTCTGCCGCCCGCATACTGATCCGGATCGAACTCCGTACCACATCTCACCAGTTCAGGCCAGGCTCCACTGGCTCCCCAACACCGAACAGATCAACTTCAAGATCCTCACACTCTTGTTCAAATCCATTCACTCACTGGCACCTCCCTACCTCTCCAACCTCATCACTTCACAATCCACCACCCCGCGCCTCCGCTCGACTGGCACGGGCCTGCTGCTCATCCGTCACACCCTCCACCTCACCATCAGAGGTTGTGTTTTCAGCCACTACATCTCAAAACTCTGGAACACTCTCCTTCAATCCCTCCGCATCTCTCCCCTCTTTCAAGTCACGCCTGAAAACTTTCCTCTTCGACCGTGCTTACGGCCACCTCCCCCGGCTCGGAGTCAGGCTCTACCACTGTTAAGCGCTCTGACAGTGCATGTTGTTGTTTCTCAAGCAGTTATGAAACAAAAGACAGCATAGCCTGAGCCACAGTTGTCCCAATCTTTTTGAAGGGGAAATTTCTTCATGCTTGTACAATTATTCATTTACACAATCCATGTGGAGGAGATTACGGTTATTCTCAAAACCCAAGTCTTGTGTTTAAATTGTTAGTACAATTCATTTCCATGTATAATTTGTTAAAAGAAGAAGTATTTCCTCTTGTGGGTCTGTCTTCCTTATTTATTGAATGTAGTTCAAGCTCCACATGCAAAAAGCTCTCTTACTAACTTGGTGCTTTTTCAATCTGGCACACCTTGGTGCTTATTTCTGGGTGTATTTTGAAACTTCCTCTTATATCAATGAAGCTTTGTTCTTTCAAAAGGAATGGGGTACGTTTACAGTATGAGACGTATGCATCCAGTATACATGGGGAAGACCATGTAACTAATATTACTTATGTTTGCACATTTAAAGGGACAGTGCTTACTGCTCCTGTATATTTCATGAATGAGGAAGAGCATGCTTTTGGTGAGTCATATAGAAAGACTATTGATGACCCCAGGCAAGTAATGACTTTCCTTTCTTTTTATTGCACAGTTGAATCAGAGGCTGGCTGTGAACGCAATGGGCCAGAAGACCTGGTCCTGGAGAGTGACCTGATGCTGGGTCAAGAGCTGGAGTTTGAGGACTGTGATGAGAAGATCATGGGCTTTGAAAAAGATTCAGAAGGTTTGAGGCACTTTCTTTGTTGTTATCCTCTTCCCCAAACCAATTGTGGTGGGTACCTGGCGCTTTATGTCTCTGAATCAAATTAACATGATGGGAAGTTTACTAGCCTTCTGTGCATGCAGCACCACTTCAGATTAATAAGGCCAAATGTTATTTAGCCCTTGTGCTTTGTAATTGCTAATTTTTGTACTCCTATTGTTATCTGATTCATTTATCTTGTACTTGATTATTAATACAAATGGAGGTGGAAGGTTTTAAAATGGAGATGTGCTGCAAAGTACTTTTCTATTTTGGCTCGTAGAGTTGAGGACATGTTTGTATTGCCTCTGTGTCTCATTTAGCAACCAGATAGATTCATCACCCATCAACAGATTTGCACTTCTCTGATCCAGTTCAGCCCCAGGGCGATACAAAAAGGAGGATTACAATCCTATCTAGTCTGGTGCTCAGCAGACAATAATCCTGGGATGTTAGAGAAGGTGTGACAATTAAATGTCATGTTTGGTTCATGTATGTTTCATATATGAGAGGGAGAAGATAATAATATTAATAATTATTAGGCATAGGAGGGCAAAGGGATTCAGAGGAGTGGAGGGTCAAGTGGAGTTTAAGCACCAATACAGATGAGTTTCTGTTGTGTAATATTTTATTTAATTCTATGCAAAATGTAAAGATCAAAATTACAGTAAAATGAAGGAAAGGTTTTAACGATAAAGGTTTTAAAATAATAATTGGAAAATAATCTGTGGATAAAAACGGCTTTTTAAAACAAATTGTTCTCTGCAGTTCAATATGGTTCCAACCCAGAAGCTAAGTTGTTGGCTAGTTATCTGCACACTTTAGTTCCAGGACAATAGTTACCTGTGGAACTGTAGTAAATCTAGGGCAAGAATTGTAACCTTTTGTTTTAAAAATCTTGCACATGTAGGGGAGGAATTTTTTTTCATAACTCAACTCCTTTCTTCATTTTGTCGTAACTCAACTCCTTTTGTCTCAACAAAGTGGCGATAGATAATTTTTAGCTCCTTGGCTCAGTTGGTAATTCTCACACCTCTGGGTCGTTGTGGAACTTCAACCCAAATTCCAAGCCAACACTCTTAATGATACATAGTTGGGAGTCATGTCTTTTGAATGATAAACTCAGATCCTTTCTGCTATTAGATGTATATTAACAATCCCCTAACACTATTCGAAAATTGACAAGAGTTCTTCTTAGTTTCCTGGGCAAAAATTCTCCAGATTTGTCATTCACGTCATAGTTGTTCGTAGAACCCTGATGTTGCCTTGTTTGCCTACAAAAATGGTAACTAACATTGAAAGTAATTCATCGTGAAGCACTTTGAGACTTTTGATGTGATAAGTTGCTATAAAATTGCAAATTCACTTCTTATTGCATCATTTATTCTTCAGGTTCCACATGGTTGATACTTTTTGTATCAAAGTCTTAATGTTCCAACACAGATTCCTGATAGTGACATGGCTATGCCGGGTTGGGAATATCTCTATACAGTACCTCCAAGTCTATCTTGGATCACTGTCGCCTCGGAGCCCCATTCAGCTGCAAGAAGACCTCCCTTCATTTGCCTTCTTCCCAAGGAGAATACTGTAATTTCATAATACAGAATTCAGCTTCTGAAAGAAAGATTTGGGTATTGACCACCCAAATATTACCAGTTGAAATTTAAAAAAGGTGCTCTCCTGCTGATCAGTTTGGCTCAGTTAGTAGCACTCACACAGACTATGTATTAACACGTTATACACGTGTGTATAATACATGAATGTAGCAAAATAGGTAAAATTCCATAGTTTGGTGCTAGAATTCCAGTTATATTTAATTGTTGTAGTCCATCACTGCTTTCGCATTAAGAGTAATTTTTTTTAAAGTTGCATTTAGTCTGTGCTTGAGGAACCAACAGCTTTTGTTATCTTTAAATGTGACTGCTGTACTGGTTAAACAGCACTGGATCATTTGATGATGTTATCGGCCTTACCTATATGGTGTAATGAATTGAGCAATGATCAACAGGATTGGATTGTGGTGAGCAGTACCCAGGCTTACCGAACTTGCAATAAAACAGTGAAAGTGAGGTGGGGGAGGGGGGGCAGATGGAGATGGGGGGCTGGGACAAGGATGGATGGGGGTGCGGCAGAGATGGAGTGGTTGGGGGGCAGTCCTAGGGTTTATGAATAAATGGTGCATGCTATAGTTTTGTGGTTGATATAGTTGCCAGGCACTTAAAATCCAAAATTACATTTGTACAGCAACTTTCATGTCTGGAGGATATCCCAAGGTGCTGGACATCAGAGATTTAGACCCAAGTGGGGGGTCGAAGAGAAAGGTCTTGAGAGTCCCTTGAAGGAAGGAGGGAGGAAGCAAGGGGAATGTGGCATGGAGTTGTAAAGCATAGGGTATGCAGGGGCTGATGGTGGGGCCAGCCAGAGCCTGGATGATCTGCAGGTTGTAGAGAGAAGATTTGGGAAGGTTGACAAGTTGGCGTAGTCCATATAACCATAGAATTATACAGCACAGAAGGAGGCCATTCGGCCTATCAGGTCTCTCGCTTTGCAAGCGAGAGACCTGAGTTCAATTCCAGACAGAGGGCGAAACCTTGGGCAAGTTTTCTTACTCCACACAGAGCCTAATAATAATCCCTTCAAAAAACAAAACAATAATAAATTTGTCATGTTCAATCTACGACTGTTTGTGGGACATTGCTGTGCGCAATTGGCTGCCGCGTTCGCCCACAATTATACAGTCAATTCACTTTACAGTGTGTTCTGTGAAGCGCTTTGGGACGTCCTCCCGACGTGAAAAGCGCTATATCAAATGCAAGGATTATTATTATTATTATTATTATCATGTCTGTGCTGGCTTTTTGAAAAGAGGAATTCAAATCAATGCCACTGCCCCTCTCTCTCCCCATAGCTCTGCAAACTTGTCCTCCCCAAATAATTATCTACTTCTCTCTTAAAAGTTGTTATCGAATCGGCTTCCACCACCCTTTCAGGCAATGCATTCCAGATCCGAACAACTCGTGTAAAACATTTCTCCACACCTCCCCTCTTTCTTTTCATTACTATTTTAAATCGGTGTCCTCGGGTTACCGACCCACCCGCCAGTGGAAATAGTTTCTACTTGTTCGCCCTATCGAATCCCCTCATAATTTTGAAAACTTCTATTAAGTCTCCCCTTAATTTTCTCTGCTCCAAGGAGAATAATCCAAGTCGACCCTTGATATGATGAAGGTACTTGTATTTGAAGCTCAGGTGTGTCAGATAGCCTCAAATATTTTTCTTCAAACCTCAACATATTTTTTGAATAGATTATGTTGGAAGTGAACGATGACATTTGGAAGTCAGAATAAAATGATGGAAATTGGAGAATATTCCTTTAGGTTTGAATAACAAATCCTGCAGTGTAAAAATGCAATCTTCCCATTGTCATTTCTCCATTTTGTCATGTGTCATTTCTTCCTGCAAATTGGTCAATGTGTTCTTATATTATTTATATACTTTGTTAAGAATAAATGGGAGAAATTCCAATGAGGCTAGATTTACTTTATATGTGTAGCATTTTAGATTATACAAAATTTGGCAAATTCTAATATCGCCTTAATTTTGAGACTGACTTCAGAGTTGAGGCTGGATTAAGTTTTTGCTAAATTATGAACTTTCTGAAATGATACATTAATAGAGTAAATCTCGACCATTTTTCCCCAGTGGTCAGTTATAGTTCTGTGGCCAATTTTGTATTGTTTCACTTGAAGTAATTTTGATATAAATATTCAGCGGTCCTGAATTATACCAAACTGAGGCTTATAAATATTGCTACCACAATGGAATATATAAACTTAAAACCGTTTAGTCATTGTCAATTTTTTTCTCTTTCATGCACCAATTTATAATAATAATCCTTGCATTTGATATAGCACCTTATCATGTTGTTGAGACGTCTCAAAGCGCTTCACAAAATATACTATAAAGTAAATTGGCGTATATTTTGCAGGTGAAACACGGCAGCTAATTGCACACATCAGTGTCCTACAAACAGTCGTGGAGTGAGTGACCAAATTATTTATTTTTGAAGGGATTATTTGCCCCGGAAAACAATCCGCCAATCGACTAACAACCATGTTCCTACTTACTACTAGGTAAACAGAGGCGTGTGGAGTAAGCAAACTTGCCTCGGAATTAAATATGGGTCCTCTCGACTGCGAGGCGAAGGTTCTAACCAACACGCTACAGAACCTATGACATTGCCATTACAATCTCCCTCTAGTGGTTTCAATGTGATGGTGTATTAGCTGTTCTGTTTTCTCCATCTCAACTTCTACTTATTCCACTTTTCCACTACATCTCCCAACATTCTTTACCTTCTTGGTTGAGCTCTTGGGCGTACAGTGGAGGAGTTTCCTTTGGCTGTTTGTGAAGTCTAGGACCAAGCAATGAGGTGGGTTTGTGTTAAACAGGAAGCTGCTATAGGGAAGGAGGGCACTGACCTACACAGACCTGTTTCGCAGAGATGATATCTGCATGAAGGGCCCTATATAAATGCATGTTGTTGGTGCTGAGCACCATGGAGGTGGAGTCAGCTTCATAGCAGGGACATCCATTTGCCAAAGTTCCTCACATAACGAACTCAATTAAGCAGTTTATTATTGAGTAAACCTGATACTGTAGCGTAGAAATTTACAGCACAGAAGATGTCCCAAAGGCCTGTTGTATCTGTGCTGGCTCTTTTAGGAACAATCCTTTCAGTCCCTTCTATGTATTTTCCCATACCCCTGTTATGAAGGGTTTAAGCATGTGTCAGGTGCCTGGCTGACCAAAAATAAATCTTCGACATTGCTGATGACTTGAAAATGCAGAATTTCATGGCATTTGAATCCATAGCAGTAAGTGGGAACCCGGTTGTTAGTCAACTGGTTGATCGCTTTTCCAGGGGTAATAATTCCTTCAAAAAAAATCGGTCACTCAACTTACGACTGTTTGTGGGACACTTCTGTGAGAAATTGGTAGCCATGTTTCGATCACAAAATATAGTCAATTCACTTTACAGTATATTCTGTGAAGCACCTTGAGATGCTCAAATGCATGATAAGCTGCTAGATCAAATGCAAGTATTATAAGTAAGGGATAAAATTAACAAATGCTGATAAAAAGCACTGGTTAATCGGCATGAATTTTGCCAAAGGCAAGTTGTGCTTGATTATTATCATTTACACTTGTTCAGTAATGACAAAATGTATGGATATTCTTGTATTTAATGTAGTGCTTTATCACATTGTTGGAAGTGTCTCAAAGCATTTCATAGGATTTACTGTAAAGTGTAATGACCGCATGGGAATATGGCTGCTAATTTTTGAGCAATAGTAATAATGATCCTTGCATTTGTTATAGCACCTTTCACATCAGAAAGACATCACAAAGCGCTTTTTTAAAATCCACGACTGTTTGTGGGACACTGCTGTGCGCAATTGGCTGCTGCGTTTCGCCTACAAAATACAGTCAATCCACTTTAGAATCTGTGAAGTGCTGTGAGACATCTCAATGACGTGATAAGGCGCTATGTCAAATGCAAGGATTATTATAATAACATTTATTAACACTTCAACTGATTTACACCTCCAATATTACAGCAAACCTCCAACACTGCTTTGGAGACTGGGCCACACTGGTATCATCTTCACCTCTTCTGTTCTCTGCCTCCAAATTGGAGGAGGGAGGAAAGGGGAGTTGGTGTGGTGATGATATCTTCCCCCAATATCTTCAACATTAGAATTCTCGCCTGAAACCCAACCTGTATTATCTGTGGTGAGTTAGGAAAAGGTTCCATTTTGTAATATTAACACTGTCTGAATGATTGCTTTGTATTTGAAGAAAGATTGTATCCATCCAATTTTATTTGCAGATTCGATTGTCTCGGAGGAACTTGGTCTTCACGTAAATGGCAATGATGAATTTCCTCCCAGCTATAAAAGACTAAAGACTGAGGACGAGACGGACAGTTACATGAACGCTGAGAGTATAGACGGGGGAACAAATACCGACGACCTGTTCATTCCCTTTTCCTGCCAGCAATGCGGCTCATTGTTGGACAGTAATCCACAGCAGCTGGACAGAGTGACTGGTCCGAATTGTCCAAAATGTAGTCTGGACATTTTATCAGAAGAGATTAGCTCAGAGCAAATGGAGAGGCTCTTTTGCTGTCAGTTGTGCAGCTTCACGTCACAATATCCCAACCACCTGGCAAGGCACATGAAAACGCACAGCGGTGAGAAACCTTACAAGTGTAAAGACTGTCACTATGCCTCCGCCCAGCTGGAAAACCTCAAGCGGCACATGAGAACTCACACTGGCGAGAAACCCTTCAAATGCAAAGCCTGTGACTATGCCTGCAGTAATATGGCCAACCTGAAGCGACACCAGCGCATCCATTCGGGTGACAAACCCTTCAAATGTGACCTCTGCGACTACAGCTGTAACCAGAGCATGAACCTGAAACGCCACATGCTCCGCCACACAGAGGAGCCAGCCTTCAAGACCCCTGAATGTAATGTATCCAAACACTTTTATTCTTGACCATAATTATTAGTTATAATTTATTTCAATTGTTTATTTGTATGGTAGAATTTTCTTTTAAAAAAAAATACAAACTTCAAGCCTCCTCTTATTCTCCGAGAGAAATTAAAATAGAACATGTCAACGTCAGCATTCTGAGCCAAGAACAGAAACGCAGGAAGATGCTGAAATAGCTGAGAGGGAGAGAACTAGGTTAATGGTTCGGAACTGATGAAGGAAAAAGTATTAGCTATTTTTCTTTATCAGAAGTTGATGAAATTCCTTTCGATTTCCAGCTTTTCTGTTTTTCTAAAAAAAAAAAGATTTTAGAAGGGATTGGAGAGAAAGCATCTCTCTTCGATAACATTTTATTTTCTAGCTTGTTTTTAACAAAACGTTTAATTATGGGAAGTAGGACAAACTCCCCTATTATTGAGGTGGTTGCGTTTAGACTATGCCCACATTAGTATAACAGGAAAACATAATCCATCATTCCAAATGATGTTGGCCTTCTAGATAATATTGTAAGATTCTCGCTTAATTATTAGAGGAATAGTTTTGTGGAAACAGCCATTAAAACTGAAATGTAAGGTTATTCTTGTGAGTTGTGTGATGGTGTCTGTCGTAGTACTGCTGTCAAAATAACACGTCTTCCATTCAACCCTTGATTCACTTTTTCGAAAGATGGCTTTCCTCACTAATCTTAAAATGAGGTTTGTGGTAAGCTGGGCCGATAGAAAAGTGCGGAAGTATTTGCCAAATGTTGCAGGGAGATTTGTGACGGGTTGCGGGGGCTTATGCCACATTTTTCAGGAAATGGTTGGGGAGTTGATTGGTGCTATTGATGTACATTTTGCTGCCAACCTACATTTTTTCACTTTATTGATAAAAGCTAAACATGAGGAAATAGCACATTAGATTGTTGCAAAAAAATTAATTGCTTCTTTAACAAAGTGTGTGGCTTTTTTGGGTGAGTGGGGGACTCATCAGCGAGGCTACAGGAGCTCACCACTCTTGCCTCTCAGGGCAAGCACTGCACACAGACAGAGACACACACACATTCAGAGACGTACAGAGAGAGAGAGAGAGAGACACATTCTCAGAGACGCACTCTCAGAAAGAGACAGGCACAACAGCAGGGCCTCCGAGTGAAGCCCATTTGCTGCTTGCGAGGCACCGAGCATGCTCGTCCGGAGCCCACAGGAACATCAGGTGAACCTACACGAGCCAGAAACTACATTTATAGAGGGTTTGTAGTGGATTCTGCAGAAAAGGTGCAGCAGCACTTTTCTATTGGCCCAGGTGATAAGTAGTGGTATTCCCTCAGAATTATGATGTCTTTATAAAGCTAAAGTTGATCTGTATAACAGGAAAACGCTGTGTGTATTTGTTTTGAAAATGACAAGCTCAGCTAAACCATCTGCAACAAGGGGTCTATGAGGCACATGTATAAATCAACTGTGTTTTGCTCTTGTGTACTCAGGGAAATTACACATTAGAATTATATTATTCACAACCAGTAAAATAGATTTATTAATTATGTAACTAACCATCGACTTTTTATTGCCTGGCAGTTACATATTTCAAGGCACACTTCATTCCCTCTGGACATGTGCATTTACATATTGTGCATTAAATAGCTGTTAGGCATGGTGCATAAAACACTCTAATAGGTGTGTTTCAGGAACCAAATTCTAGAATTCTTTTCCAGGGGGGAAAGAGATTTAAATTTGGAAATCTGAAGTATGTTATTAAGAGTGAGTATTATCCTCTGATTTTAAATGTTATCGTTATTTCTGATTAATCTAAATTCTTGATGGGAAAGCCAATGTGGTTGGAATTCTAGATATTGTTTTTGGTGCAGTGGACTGAAGCAAACCTATACTTTCTTGCCCTCTGGGCTGCTTTGCAATATAGCATACAAAACACTCCTGAAAATGTTAGCAGCCCGTTTAAGGTGAGAAAGCTGAAGCATCTGCTTACTTCAACGGAACCTCAGGTTACAACTATTGTAATATTTCTGCCAGTAGTAGTATCCATTAATGCTTGTTGTTTTTACACTGCTTTCTTATGGTTTGGAGGACACTCTTATTTAGAAGCTGTGACTAAGAAAATTTGTTGCTGTGCACAAGTTTGGATTAATTTATCGTACAACATTTGTTTTTTTTTAATGGCAGAACATTCAGTTGCCCTCTTTGAGGATTTAATTGCTTCCTTCAAATTGTACTCTAAAGATAGCCAAGAGAGACAAATAAACAGGATTTGGGTTTTTATGATCCTATTCTGGTATTACAGCACTAATATTTCTCTGTCTCAATATCGTAGCTGAAGTGGTGTGAACACTGATGTAAAATACTGTATCTATTGACATTCATTGTTAGAGCAACTTAATTCTCCAGGAATGTCTGGTTGCTTCTGGTCTTAAGAGGATAACAATCTTAAGAACTGGTATTCCTGTATTTGCTATGAATGGAGAGGGAAATTTTCACCCTCGGTGGCTTAAGCTTTTTATTTTGTTCAGTTTACAGTATTTATGTGATAGCTGGTTATGAGACACAGAGCTGCTACAGATTATGAGACAGAGATATTACAGTGCATCAAACTGTCATACATTTTAAAATTAATGTAATTGTGAACATTTAGAATGAAAATAAGCTGAGAGACTTTTTTTCTTTACAGTGAAAATGATAAGAAATGTGTAACGTGTTTGGTAGGAAAGTTTGTTCTTAAATCTTATGACTGGAACTCAGATTTTATTGACTTTTTTAGAATATTTGTTTCTCAACCATAGAATCATCCTCAAATGGCATATACATTCATAATCTTTACTGTTCTCACCACTTTGCGCAAAAAGTTTAATTGCAAAAGTGTTGAGTAATGTGCTGCTATCTCTTGATGAAATTAGATAATGGTTTATTTTATTTTGTGCTGAGTGAGCACTGTTGTAGGAATAACTGAAGACTTAATTTCTCATTTATGTTTGAATGGTACATTAATCAAAATTCTATAATGACAGGAAGAGAGTGAAATTGAGTTTCCGTGATTTTGGAAATATTGTACAGGGAACGACAGAAATAAATGTAGCTTAAATTGGTTGGCAACAGCAGTTTTCAACTGATGATGAAGAGAGTGGGAAGATCATTCTATTTCTCATATTGGTTTGAGAAATGGCAGAATCAGTGTGGATTCATGGGAATTGATCTGTTGATTTGTACAGTACTTATTACATGCTTTTTGCAAGTACTGTACCTTGTAGAAGGAGCGGGTTTGATGGGTCTTACAGTTTTGTCTCATTCCATGGTTTCTTACAATAATAAAGAGTACTTGCATTTGATCTCATCGCATATCACGTCAAAACTTTTCACAGAATGAGTTATTTTCAAGTGTAGTGATTGTTTTTATGTAGGCAAGCTTTATCTTTACTGTTTGTATGACCTGTCCCCCATCTTGGATTCAACAACATTTTCGGGTCTTCAAGAGCCGGTTTCAGAATTAAACATTGTTTTGAAGTCTTTCAGTGTTGAATTCTGCAAAAGGTTCTCTCGGATGATTCCTGCTGCTTTAAAATACATTTACTTTTTTTAAAATAAATCTTCCATTTAGTTATTGATGTATCACAATTACTAATGTTATATTTGTAAGAGAAGAATTCTTGACAGTTATGCAATGATCAAATGACAGGTCAACTGTAGAAGCATTTCTATGTCTACTTGCTATTCAAAGAATATGGCTTTTAATTTTACAAATATTTGTACAATGTATGGGAAGGGTGTTCCACATCTCTGTTGAATTACACAGAATGATAATAGCTTCGTTCACCCACCCGCTTCCCAGACACTCTTAACGCAGTAAGCAGCTTAATTCTCAAGAAATGTCTGATTGCTTCTGGTCTGATTTCAGGGTCATGTCTTTTTTTTTGCCTTGTAGTTTTCAGGATTTTTTTTTTTCTCTCTTACACAAGTAAAGCCAGTCGGAATTTTAGCAAAATGGAATGACACAGGAAATAAAATAAAGACCTAGGATTGAAATGTAAAAGCTTTAACATGGAAATCTCTTGAACAAAATGGTAGACAGTGAGAAACAAATATTAGTTTGCTCCCTCCCTTCCCTCCCCGCACCCTGACCATTCCCCCCCTGCTCCGGTCCTGACCCAACTGTACAGCGCCTCGGGATGTCCTCCCGACGTGAAAGGCGCTCAATAAATGGAATCGTGTTGTTGTTGTAGTTTCCAGTTAATTTAAAATCCAATGTACCTGCAGAAAAATATCATTTTTTTTACTAACTTCAGATACAGGTAATTCTAAAGTATAAACGAGTTGACAAATATTAACTTTGACTAAATGTTTGGTTTCCATGTTCTATCAAACTATTTGAACGACAAGAAAGTCTGTTAACATTTTCTTTTTCAACCATACTTCCTCTTCTCAAAATGTCTTCAGACAAATCTAGCGTTGAAATTACAAATAGAGATTGTGGATCATAAAAACAAATATTGGTGATCACAAAATATAAAAATATAGGATTAAACTCTTTGTAAGTGATTGCTAAGTCCTATTTAGAATTAGATCTCAAATGAATACATTCCAGACATTATATAGCAGATGGCTCTTTGACCTACTAAAATCTATCAACTTGTTCTGGTCAGAATGTTGTACTTGCCCAGCTCTGATGAAATATTATGTTAAGTGAGGCAGTGAAAATAAAGTGTCATAATTTAATGAAATGATAATATTTTAGTGATCCTTTTCTGATTTGTAGCCTTTCATGGATGTGGTTCTCCCCGTTTCCAACTGATCTCACTTTACTAAAGGCATTTGCTTGTTTTTATCCTAATTAAATAACAGGATTTATCTTGAGTTGTCCGGGGTTCCACATAGCTATTCTCCAAATAAAGAAGGAGCACAGAAGCCTTGATGGGAAATTCTGATTTTAAACCCCTGTTGCAGCATTACTAGAACTGTGTAGCTAGCGTGTTGCTGAAAGTGCAGTTTTACTACAAAGTATGTTACATAGGGAAAGTGAACCAATAATCTTCTTGAATGCTGTTCTTCAGTGGCCCAGGATCATTATTTGGGGCTAAATACAATATGGTAAGTAGCGCTACTGCAATGAAATGTCTTTGCGTTTATAATAGTCACTGATTAGTGAATGCACGGTTTGTGATTTAATATATTTCAGCAGAGTAGCGTTACTTCTGGTCAGTGATGGGCAATGCGTTTTTATATTAAAAAACACACAGTTTTCATACAATATTACAAAACTTCTTAATAGAAGCTTATTTTTTAAAGATTTTTGGCTTTCATTCTACTAGTGCTAAGGAGGAAAGATTTGCTCCCAGTCAGTGAATGCTCAGACTGAATTGATTCTATGGCAGACTTATTTAAGGAAGCCATCTGGATTCCGATGGATGCAGTTGTCAGCTTTCCAATGCGTAACATTTTGGGATGTTGTCATTAGGCAGGTAGCTGCTGTGTATTTTTTTTTAATTCAGCAACACTCGTTTGTGTCTAGTTGTGTAATTCTTCCATTACAAGAATATGATCGCATATTTTACATTACAAGAATATGATCGCTTCTTTGAAAGCTGTGCCTATTCCATAATGATTTTTTATACAGATGTGATGATGTAGCTATGCTTAGTTATTGAATATCTTCTGTTTCTGCTGTCATCGCTTCGGAACCAAAAGCTAATATGGATACTCTCACGTCTTCTGTCATCTATTCTGAATCTATTCTTTCCCTCTTCCCCAATTGCTTATTTGATATCTCTCATCCCCTTCTCCCCACCAACACCCAATAGGCCCCAGTATTCTCCTCCAATAAGAAGAATGATTGTTTTGTATACTCGACAGGAGGCACTATCCAGGAGAGAAGGAACTAATGTGTCCGAGAGCTCCAGCCACTCTAATATTGGGAATTAAGCAGGATTTGTGCCCAAATTAAGCTCAACTTGAAAGGCCTTCTCTTTCCTCCTTCTCACGGTTAACTAGCCTACTGACAGACAGTGTCTGGGTTCACGCATGAATCATGGCCATTCAGATGAATATTGGATACCAAAAGTCACCATTACACATTACGTCATTAGAAAATATTCTTTGCATTTTAAAACAGAATACATGAAGTTCACATGAAATCACATTTAGGCATGAAACTAAACTTCAAATTAACCTTTCCCCTAGAACAAGGTTGAATCATCCAGCCAGTGCCCCTTGGAAATTCTTGAGATAATTAAAATGGGCTCACCATCTAGTCATATTAACTGTTTTCACTAGTGTGTACCAAATTCCCTCTTAAACCTTTAGCTGGGTTAATCTTTGTTTGTGCAGATGGTTAAAGGGTTGCATCTGCAAGACCTTCCAAGACTGAGCCAGATAGATGCACTTTAGTGGAGATGTACTTATCTCATCAAAAACATCTCTAAAAACCCAATATTAAACACAAAAATAAAGCCAACCTCCAATTTGTTGTACATCTAACTTATTAAAGCAAGCTTCACTATTCACTCAACTGCAACAAAGTTCTGGATATGTGAAGCGCTTTGAGACATCTAGAAGACATGAAAAGCGCTATATCAAATGCAAGAATTATTATAGAATCCTCAAACAAATTCTGATATACATTAGTAGCATTGTAATTATCCTGCCTACCCTACCTGTTGCCCATCACGACTTCTGGTACTGTAACTCTGTTCATAGAATTCCATTTTATTTGTCGTAGTTTTTATTTACTAGATAGCATTGCCCCAAAACACTAATTGTTGATTTTTTTTCTAATTTGTTTGCAGATTCTGATCTCTCGGAGTTTGTTCATGCAGATGATAGCAGTGAATTTACTCCAAGCTGCAAGCGGCTTAAAACTGAGAAAGACTCACACAATTCTGCAGATGTCCAAGAGGAATCTTCTTTGAGACTAGTCAATGGTTTTTCAGATAGTTATGACAGCCCCCCTCAGCAGACTGCCCCCTTGATCAAACAAAACAGTTCAGGAGCAAGTGTGGAAGTTGTGTTGGAAGAAGATTGTGGGGTTGAGGAGATTTCCCAATATTCCAGAAGCACTACTGGTAATGGGGCCCTCCACCACAAGAAACTCTATAAATGTACCCTCTGCAACTATACAACCGAGCAGCTGGGCAACTTCAAGCGCCACAACTTAATCCACGAGGGTTGGAAGCCTTTTAGATGCAATCAGTGTGACTATACATCTGGTCAATTAGGGAACCTTAAAAGACATCTGCAAACCCACACCAGGGAAAAAATCTTCAGATGCATCCATTGCAGCTATGCCTGTGCTAGTATGATAGTTCTGAAGAGACACAAGCAAACCCATGTGAAGAGCGAGCCTGCCCTACAATTGGAAGAGGACAGCATCACAAGTAAGTCTTTGTCCCCTCCCCCAGACTCTCAGACACCCTCTGAGGGCAGTGAGGAAAAGAAGCCAGTCAAATGTTCATACTGCAGCTACACCTCGCCCTTGATGGGGAACCTGCAACGACACATCCGGATACATCTTGGCGAAAAGCCCTTCAAGTGTGAGGAATGCAACTATGCAACAGGCCAGTCAGGGAATCTCAAGCGGCACAAGCTGACTCACAGCCAGAAGAGGTCTTTCACCTGCAAACAGTGTGACTATGCATCTGGCCAGATGGGGAACCTGAAACGCCACATGTTGACTCACACCAGGAAGAAGTGCTTCAAATGCAGCCAATGCGACTTTGCCGGGGACAGTATGGCTGAGCTCATGAGGCACAAGCATTGCCACAAAGAGGAAAAGGCTGTGCTACAACAAACCACAAGCTCCCTAAAAACAAACGGTGAGGAGAAGCCTTATAAGTGTTTGCACTGTAATTATGCCTCAGCTTTGCTTGGTAACCTACAGCGACACACCCGCATTCACCTGGGAGAGAAGCCTTTCCGGTGCGATCGCTGTGACTATTCATCCAGTCAAACGGGGAACCTTAAGCGACACGGTCTCACCCACACCCGAGAAAAGACACTCAGGTGCCGCCAGTGTGCCTTTGTCTGCAGTAACTTGCTGGACCTGAAGCAACATAAGGAGATGCATCTAAAGGAAAGGCTGCAGGGTAGCCAAGGTGATACCAAGGAACCCACAGCCCAGAGCTCCCAGCAGGCTACAATGAGCAGTGGTGATGAGAAGTCCTTCAAGTGTTTGTATTGCAGTTATACCTCATTGTTGCTGGGGAACCTGCAGAGGCACACTCGCATTCACCTGGGAGAAAAGCCTTTCAAATGCAAAGAGTGCAATTACGCAACATACCAGTCAGGGCACCTTAAGCGTCACGTGCTGACCCATATACAGAAAAAGTCACTGAAGTGTCGCCTGTGCAAACATGTCTCTGGAAATCTGGCAGACTTAAAACAACACCAGCAAGAGCACACTGAGAAATCTACCAGTGAAGACAAGAAACCTTACAAATGTTCCTTTTGTAATTATGTTTCCTCCCTGTCGGGAAACCTGCAAAGGCACATACGGATCCATCTGGGAGAACGGCCTTTCAAATGCGACCAGTGTGAATATGCGTCTCACCAGTCAGGTAATCTGAAGCGACATCAGATAACTCACAGTCGGCCCAGGTCTTTCAAGTGCGGCATCTGCTATTACACTTGCAGCAACGCACAAGACCTAAAGGAACACAAGGAGACTCATGTGAAGAAGAAAATGTTGTTGCAAGATGAGGACAACGGGACTGAAAAAACCAAAGAGCCTTACAAGTGTAAGCTTTGCTCTTTTGTCTCCGAGTACCCAGGCCACCTCATGAGGCATATGAAAACGCATAGCGCAGAGAAACCATACAAGTGTCACTACTGTGATTATGCAACGGTGCAAATGGGCAACCTCAAGCGGCACATATTGATCCACACGGGGGAAAGGCCTTTTAAATGTGACAAGTGTCCCTACAACTGCAGCCGCTTGGAGAATCTGAAGCGACACAAGCAGACTCACACTGAAGAGCAACTCTTAGAGGATGATGAAGGAGGCAGCTTGGTAAAAGTTGAGAAGCCACTTTACTGTCAGTTCTGTAACTTTAAAGCACGGTACCCCAGCATCCTGGCTCGGCACATAAAAACACACAACACTGTTGTGAGCCCTCAGAGGTTGCAGCAGACTGGCACGTGTAGAAAAGCCTTCCGTTGTGGCCAGTGCCCCTACTTTTGCCGCAGCATGTCTAGTCTGAAGTGGCACATGCAGAGTCACACAGGAGGCGAAGCATTAGCACAACCCCAGGAGGAGACTGAGCACAACCACCAATCCGACCATTTAACAAGCCACGTGAAAGTGCACAGCAACCAAACCCAGCATCTTGAAACCCCTTCTCCAGAGCCTGAGCAGGAGAAACAAGACCAGAACATATTCTCTTGTAATTTGTGCAGTTTTGTCACCCAGTACCCCAACCATTTCATAATGCACATGAAAACTCACATGAAAACGCACAGCAACAACACAAGCGATTACCAGTGTTCCCATTGCAGTTACACCACCAAACAATCTGGCAACTTCAAGCGTCACATTCAGGTTCACTTGGGTGTGAAGCCTTTTAAGTGTGACCAATGCAGCTATGCCTCGATTAATTTTACCAACCTGAAAAGGCATTTACAAACCCATATGAGACAGGCGTGCAACCAGTTGGATTACTCCTGTACAGACGTAGATGACCACAGCAGCTTTAAAGCAGAATTGGAAGCAAGTGACCTTGAAAAGCTTTCTGAGCCTCCCTCCTGCGAATCTGACAGTCTTACCTCTCAACCTCCCAACTGCCTTTCAAGGAATACAAAACGCAAGAGGCAGCACAAATGCCCGCACTGCGATTACGAAACGACCGATTTGGGAAACCTCAAGCGACACATCAGGAGCCACAAGGGGGAGAAGCCCTTCAAGTGCAGCCAGTGCAACTATGCCTCGACCCAGATGGTCAATGTCAAGCGACACCTACAAACACATGGAGAGAAACCATTGTACCAGTGCAGCCAGTGCCAGTTTGTGTGTGAGAGCAAGGCTGCCTTTAAACGCCACAGCCAGAAGCACTCGGCAATCCCTGTGGTCAAGCAGGAAAGGGAGGAGAAGATTAACGTCAGGAAAGGGCAAAAGGTGTTCTCGTGCAAGCTGTGCAATTTTGTCTCACAGTACCAGAGCAACCTCATCAGACACATGAATATACATAATTATCGAAGGCCGTATAATTGTTCGCAGTGTAACTATGTGTCCGCCCAACTGGGCAACCTCAAAAGGCATATGCAGAATCACTTCAAAAATGAAAGCTTCCAGTGTGACCAGTGCAACTACTCATGCGCTTCAATGACTAACTTGAAGCGGCACGCCAGGGTTCACACAGGGCAGAACCTGATTAGGCGGTAAATGGAAAGAAGATGGAGTCCATTTCAGACCAGTATTGGAAGCAATCAAAAAAAAGCTCGGGGGGCAAATGCAGACGAGATGTGCTGGAACAAAGAGAAGCACACACTGTAAACGTGTCCCGACTGGGCCTGTTAGATCTCGGTGAAATAATGTTTAAAAAGTGGACTCGCATGAACGAGAGCGCAAGCTGTACAGTAGTGAGCTTGATAGAGTACAGCAGGGTTGGAGCAGTGTAAGCATGATCTCAAAGGATCTGCTGCTACTTATCCACTTTACAGCTACACCTGCAATCATTGTAACTGTAAATTGAAAGAATATAAGCCATTATGCTCCTCAATGAGGTTTGTTTGTATAACACATAGTGGAGTGAAACCTGCCATTCTGGTCACTTTGGTTAAATGCCCACCTGTCTTAAGCAACAAATCTTATGGCGACTAATGTTTCAGTAGACCTGAATTCTACTTCACAAAGCCAACTTCTGAACATGGTTTATTTTTAATGTAAAAAGATGGTTTAACAATAAATGTTCATTTGGATTAAGAGGTTATTTTTATGTGAAGTCATAATCAAACTTTAAAAATGGCAATTGCAGTTTAGGTTGGGACCTAGGATTTGGATTAATTAATTTGTTAAGAGTTTTGTCTAAATGCAATAGCCATTTGCCTTAAACAAGCTATTAGGCTAATGCCTGGTGGTAGCTGCTTTCTGCAGGTTTCGCTGTGCTTTGTGTTACATTAAACATGTTGTAATGCCTCCAAAACAAATGTCTACTGTTTAAAATTATGTAAATAGGCATTTTTTTTCTTTTAAGAGTGAAATAATCTAATGAATGTACATTACCAAATGGGAAAACCTGCAGTTCTGTTGTGGTCCTGCAGTGATCAGTGACTGGCTGTATTTACACATCTGCGTGTATTTATCTTCAGAACATTTTGTTTTCCCAAGATAACTATAGTAGGTTACACTGGGATTGTTGATTTAAGTCAAATCTGAATTGAGTGCTGAATTACATTAAAGAGCAAAGCATGGGATGCATTTCTGTCCCGCATCCCCCACCCCATCCCCCCACCCCCTCACACCCACAGGAAATCTCTTTTTTTGTAGTGGAATTTATTTAAATTAGATAATTGTAAGATGTGGCCTCCAAGTCAGGCTTTCTTCATTAAAGGTGTCAAACCACACCATTTAAGTAGGGATTGTGAATGTAGGTTTGTGCCTAAACTACTGCTTTATCTGCAGCAAATGTGAGACGAGGATATTATCTCAAATCCTCATTATGTGGAAGACCAGCTCCCACACTGAGACTGAATTGAAGAATTTTCCAAAATTCTGCACAATCTTAAATTGTAAGGCTGTGCGACAATGAGAAATTTCAGGCATCCAGCTCCCAGAAGCTGGAATGATTTTAATTTGATTCTAGATGCACTGGAAGTAGAATTTGTACTTAGGGTCAGTTGCACTTGATCCGCAATCATTTATTGAAATAAAGTCCTATGCACACAGATTGCCTTTGAATGTATTGTACAACAACAATGACATCCTGTGTGTTGCATAAAAATATTCCAGCACGCTGAATCCAAAGGTCAAAGCCAGCTTTTGGTTATACTGTACTCAGGTGCCTGTAAAACTTAAAGCAAAATAGCATGGTTATATCCACACTTCTGGACCCAGATGTAGACTGAACTCCGAGCTGAATTATCTCACATCTAGAAGTGCACTGTAACCAGGTTATAAATGGTTCAGGCGTTCACACTTGCTTTATATGAATGCATCCCACGTTTGTAGTAGAAATGGTTCATACCATCACCAATCCATGTATGACCTCAGTTGAATTTGATTTGCAGAAAAGCTCAGGAATGTTGTACCTCGTTTATGCTAAGACTCAGTACCATACATTTGTATAGCGCCTTGGGACATCCTCCCAACATGAAAGGGGCTATACAAATGTAATCTTGTTGTTGTAATCCACACCGAGCAATTGAATTTGTGCAGACAGGATAAGTTAAACTGCTGTTTTCATACTGGTCAGCAGTTCCACCAGGTAAGACAGTGTTAACAGGCAACCATTCTATAATGGTTCCTTTCTGTGGGTTTAAACCCTTTTCAGTAGTGGCAGTAGTGAACAAATGGCAGTGAGAGGAAGTGAAGGAGAAGGAATGAGCCATCTTATCTACAGGGAACTTGTGTTGCAAGACCATTGTTGAGTTATATTGGCAGCTCTTTTACATGCATCTGAATCAGCAGCAATATAAGATCACCCCGCAGGTGGGTCTGTTTACATTTCTGCTCAATTGGAACTTGTTACCGAACCAGTTTAAGTTGGCATACTGATGCTGAATTTTCACATCAACGTGGCCTCCATAAACTTAGGCAGTCCCTGCACAGTTCAGATTCAGCTGCTCCAGATTGTTTCCACTACCCCTGCACGAACATTATTATGACAAGTTTGCTTTTCCTGAACTTCCCTGGAAGAGGATTTAGTCAGAGTTGCAAAATCATGTATTCTGGTAGATTCTCCTGAACGTGAACTCATCTCTGATCTCATAATGCCTTTTTTTTCTTGAATTATGTACTACTGTATGGTGAAGAAATGGCTTTTTGGAAGAGCCTTTTTGGAAGTGTGATACTGCTGTACTCTGACTCCATATTGTCTAGTCCTGGTCCACCAATTTCCAGTTATTTTTATTATAAAGACAGCCCACATTTAAATAAGGTAAAATTAGTAAGTAACTAATGGCAATTATTTTCTTCAAAATTGAAATGGAATTTTTACATATCAAAAATTGGGATGAAATTTATTATATCTGAAGGCTAACAAAATATTGTGTTGGGATATTAGATTTCTGATGTTTACAAAGATGTGATAAGGCGCTATATCAAATGCAAGAATTATTATTTACTGCATTGTGAGGCACTGGACTTGCTGTTACAATCGCTGCTGTAATATTAAATGCCTCTCTCACACTTTGTGTGGTTTAAATTTTACATGTATCTCATTTTTGTCGGAACAAAATAAACAAACAAACCTAGCATAACCCATTTGAGTATTTATGCGAGCATATTAGTCCAGTGAGAACAAATGTCGTCAGGCACCAGAAAAGAGGGCCAAGCCACAGTTTATTGGTAATACGACTGGTGACGGTAACATTTACCAGGGTACGTCAGTTATAAGAGTGGGTAGCAGTTCCAGTTTCTGAATCTAATTAGTGTTGCTATTGGCTAGTATCTTGTACAATACAGGGTTACAAACCTGACCAGCTCGAAGGCATTAAAGCTCCGGGGTAGGGGCTTGTCAGTAATTCTTACCAAAATTGGCAGGGTAAGTTCCTAAACTTGCATAGCCAACATCAACCCCTGCACCTTTGTTTTTGGCAGACATTGTCCCCAGGCATGACTTCTATGAGGACAGCTTGCTGGCAGTGAGACAAATATTAAATCAAAGTTCCTGCTTTGAAAAAAATCTTGTCACTTCTAACAAAAGTATGGTGGGAAGGGCAGTTCCTCTACATTGAACGCACTTCTCTCTTGCCGCAGCTACCTTCTCCAGGCTTTACATTAGACTTCTTCCTTTTTGAACACTATTCAAAACCTCCATTCCCTTTTTGCCTTCTCCTTTTGGTGCTCTTTCCTCTTTTGTACACTCCTGATTTATATATTCCTTTCTTTACCAGACTTGTTCCTGTTAAAGGCTTTTCTCTCACTGTACTTTTATTATTCAAGTTGGAGATTGACCAAATACTGTTTTCATCAAATCTGATTTAACTACTGAGTAGATACCCAGGATATTTCCCACCCACAAATATTGTCACTTACAGTAATTACTGTGAGCATTTTGAGACTTTATAGACTATATGAAATTAATAACTTATTTTGAATTAACCACACAAGTGCAACAGGTGAGGGGAAAGCTTCCCTCTGCAACAATGAGGTCAGATTATGATTTTCAAAAGCCTTCAAAGTGCAAAGAAAAATACAGGAGGGCAAATCGACTGGCAGTGGGTGAGATAGGGTTTTGCTTTCAAGTCTTTAGCAGCTTTAAGAAATTGCAGTAAGCCATTGTGTGACTATCACAATTAATGCAAGTAACAATTAGCACTGATAAAGAATCACAATTGCTCCTGTTTACATCAGTTGGTAAATCTCATCAGATTCGCAAACTGGAACTCTACTACCTAATCTTATAATTTCTGTACCCTAATAATAATAATCCTTGTAAATGTTACCAACACCAGTCTGATCACCAATTACCACTGTTCACCATCACTGTTAACAGAAAACTGACCTCAAAGTTGAGACTGAATTCAACAATGTAACAAATTATGGACCCTGAAATAGTACATAAAATCTATATCCCAGGTTGAAATTCTCCCACGATGAAATTGAGAATGGAAAATGTTATTATAAAAATGGGAATTGGCCCATTTCATGCAGGTGTTGAACAGGATTGGAGCCAGCATTCACTGTCTGTGTTTATGCATGAGGCATAGCTACTTGAAGGTGAATGGGGGTAACTGAACTGCACCATTCAGATGTGAGTTGACATCTTTAGGTGAGATTGTCATCACTTAAGTATATTTATCAATCATGTTGCTGACAAATATATTCTTTTCAGGTGGTGATTAGAAATCACTTTACTCTAAAAAGAGAAGGGAGTTTTTTTCCAGTGTCAGCCAACAATCCGCCAGAAAAAATTGGTCATTCACTTCATAGCTGTTTGTGGGACATCACTTTGGGCAAATTGGCTGTTTACACTTCATAGTAAAACTCTGTAAAGCATTTTGAAATGTCTTATGTGAAATGCAAATATAATTATAATAGATGAGTACCCATTTTCTCCATCTGACAATATGATAATTCACTTAAATGGCTGTTTAATCAAGTTTGATTCAAAGATGATGTGAAGGCAGGGATTCTTCTCACTCAACTCCTGTTAACCCATTCAAAAGCTTAATGGTGGTCCTAGCCTGCTAGACAGTGCGTTCAATGGCAAGCTATTTGGTTTTAGTTGGTTAAACTCCCAGCATTATCCCAACTATCACGCTGGGGTCCCCAAACCTACGCTATAACCAACCTGCCTCTAATACTCCAGAATTAGGTAAAGAGTATGCTTCCCTTCGGGCAGAGTGTGCCATCCATTCCAAAATGGGAATTTCCATGTGTAGGTGGGATGCATAGGCCTCAGTTTGGTTTGGATACTATTAAACATGGTGATGTGTCAGACCAAAAAAAATCAGTACGTGTTGTCAGGCTGTCAAAAAAGAGCATCATAGCTGAGCCAGATACTTTATTCATTTAATATCTACATTTGGGCACTTTAATCAGGGATTAAGGGCAAAAGAATGAATGAGATGAGGATATTCAGCCCATCAAACCCACTCCCTACACACAGATGGTTGCCTAGCTTTTCATGGTTAAGCAAAATATTCAATCAATAATTGAACTCCTTAATAATAATAATTAATAATAATTGTGCTCCTTTCCTTCCCCTTTATTTTAGTCAGCCAGGTATCACTAACATGTAAAAAATTTATCTTCATGCTTAAGAGTATCCAAACCAGATTGATTTCCATATACCAACCAAACATGTATGTTTCCCTGTGTCTGGAATGCACTCTCCCTGGAGGGATACACCCTGGTTACCTAATTCTGGAGTGTATTGTCAAGATTGGTTAGTGACAGCTTTCTTTCCACAAACAACATGCCTCTTTTTCCTCGCTTTCTCCCTCCCAGCAGCATACAAGCTATCACGGGTGTGGTTGTATCATTCCCCAAAGTTGTTCCCAAGCAGATACCTATGCAGAAATGAAAGCAAAATCTGAAATAAAATGATGGAAATCCACACTGAGTAGAGCAGAATCAGAAAGAGACAAGTGGATGTTAGTAGACATGTATCACATTCCTTTACAAGGAGTTTACAATACTCTGGGAAAAATTACCATTCTTTTGCTTCACTTGAACCTTTCATTTGAAATGTATATCCTCTAGTATGCTCCCTAAAGCAATGTACAGGTAACTTGCTTGCATCTACCATCGTGTGCTTCTCAGATTTTTTTTAAAAGACCCTAGATCATGTTCCTCAACACCAAATGGTAAGTTAGAAGAGGAACCTTGGTTAAGGTTTTACCCTCCGCCCTCCGCAGGCAAAGAGCCTGCAGGCAATTGTAGTACACCTAAAAATTTCTGCAAATGCAGCGCATTTACCACAGACTACGGATCAAAGCTGGAACATTTCTAGTTATCTCAATTCTACACAACATTCAGCCTGAAATCTCACCTCAAGTCTATTTTGTCTTGTAGAAAATTCAGAGGTTACGTATATACAAAAGCATAGAAAATTCTTAATTTGGAAGCTATTTTTCTACTGTTCATAAAAGAAACTGACTTACAAATTACGACTGGATTGAAGAAGTGCAAACTCAAATTTTAAGACAACGTTTTCCTAACAGGCAGAGGTGGGATATCAGACTGTTGGTGCATTTCCCAGTATTTTGGCACATTCCATTTTTCACGACTGATTGTTTGCATCCCTGTGGAGTCCTGTAGCTCAGTGGTTAGAGCACTCGCTTTGCAAGCGAGAGACCCGAGTTCAATTCCAGGCAGGTCAGGGCGAAACCTTGGGCAAGTTTCCTTACTCCACACGCCTAATAATAATCCCTTCAAAAACCAAAAAAACAATAATTAAATTGGTCATTTTCAATCTACGACTGTTTGTGGGACATTGCTGTGCGCAATTGGCTGCCGCGTTCGCCCACAAATATACAGTCAATTCACTTTACAGTGTGTTCTGTAAAGCGCTTTGGGACGTCCTCCCGACGTGAAAAGCGCTATATCAAATGCAAGGATTATTATTATTATTATTATCCCCTGAGGATGTTGCTTATGTTCATCAGGTCACTAGATGTCCTGTTCCGTTGAAAGCTCCTGGGCCAGAAATATCTTGCATTCTTAGGCTTAAGACCATTGTCATCAAATTTAAGATCCTGCAGGGTTTTGAATGACAGTTTTAAATTCAGTCTTAATTTGAAAATTGTATTTCATAAGAACTGGAAATTCAGCCTTTAAGTTAATTGCCTGCAGCCTCTGTGCCTGCGGAGGGCGGAGGGTAAAACCTTAACCAAGGTTCCCCTTCTAACTTAACATTTGGTGTTGAGGAACATGAATTTAAGGCTGTTTCGAAAATTCTACACGCATTTCAGAATTCTACGCTCCGATACACTATCCCATATGAAAGGTGCTGTACAAATGCTAGTTTTATTGTTGTTACCATTATTGTAAGCGATCTAGTGGTCTTATGTCTAAGAACATGAGAAACTTTGGGCTCCAGGTATTTTAATAATAAATGATAATAATCCTTGTATTTGATATAGTAGTACCTTATCGCGTCATGGAGGAGCCTCAAAACGCTTCACTGGACATCGTGTAAAGTGTATTTTGTGGGCGAAACACAGCAGCCAGATTGTGCACAGCAATGTCCAACAAACGGCCATAGATGATGTAAGAATAGAAAAAAAACAGAAGTGTAAATGCTGGAAATCTGATACAAAAACTGCCTCTGTATCAAGAACCAGAAATGAAGAGACATTGTCAGCACTCAGAACAATTACAGCAGTGACATAACGGAAACACTGGAAATCCACACATTAATCAGGATCTGAAAGAGGAAGATATGGTGTGATGAAGGCTGTGGCCAGTACGTCAAGCAATCATCCTCTTTCAGATGCTTTTTAACCTACTGTGGTTTTCTAATGATTCTGTTTTTGTTGCTGTTAAAACTGTGCTGAGCACTGATAGCATCTTTTCACATCTGGTTCATGAATTGTAGATGCCACAAGTTGACAAATTTCCTCTGAAACCAGTTGAGTAACCTCATATTATGTCTCCGGTTCAAAAACTGTGCAGTAGCTGGTAACTCAATATTGTTCCCATTGGCTTTGAAAATTGTTAAGGTCATTAGAAAAAATACAAGGGGAACTGAGAATGGCCAAAAGGGAGGCATCTGAAAAAAAAACAATTGACTGAATATTCAAAGGCATGGAATATATCAGCAATTTTAATAAAGAATCAGATTTTCTATGATCCCAACTACTGATGATGTAAAATCATTCGTGACGTCCTAACCTCCAATTCCTGAAGGGAGGTGTGGTACAATGTTCATA